ATCCATAATTTCTTCTCTCTGTTGGTCCCCTTTTATCTGTACACTTGTCTGTCGCGCTGCGCGCAAAGTTGGTTTTCTATTCCACGCAAGACGTTTCTTTACACCCAAACACCTTTTATACAAAGCTCAAATCTGCCAGATGCTTGTTTACTGCAGTCACGTATGGGGTGGACCTTCATATTCCGCTATTTCTCTCCTGGACCGTGTTCAACGTAAAGCCATCCAGCTGATCGACGAACCGTCTTTAACTTCCACCTTGCAGTCGCTTTCCCATCGCCGGGCAGTTGCTTCGTTATCTCTTTTCTATTGTTACTATTTTGGTTTCTGCTTTTCCGAACTCGCTTCAGCGGTTCCCCTCCCATTGACCTACTCGTCCACCTCGTTCTCAGGCGACCAGTCACCCTTATCAGGTTTCTGTCCCCAGATGTCGGACTTCTATCTTTCAATCTTCTTTTTTCCCTAGGATTGCGGAATTGCCAGCTCTTATAACCTTACCCTTTTCAAAAGCGGGGTTAACAAATTGGTTCTTACTTGAATGTTCCCCCAAATACCTCCCCCTTACAGTATATCATTGATTATGGGGTTTACTCCTTTTGCTGTAAACCATTTCGTGTAATAAAAAAAAGAATAATCATCCCACGATTGGCTACATTCATTGGGGGGCTGTCCGCACATCTGCTGGTTTGTGCCAACCAACAGTGGTTTGCCTTTTGTTTGTGGTGCAAGAACAAACTATCCCGGAATGGATATACCGTGCTAGGATTAACATACGGAACTCTCATTCTGAATCAATTCCTACTACTAAAATCCGTGAAACGCTGGGTCACAGACTGTTAGTGTGTACTTTTTTTAGTACATACATTTGTGTGGTGAACAGCATACGAGGCAAACCCCATAGTCACGAAGACCTGCTGCTTCGTCATCGAAACCGGTAACCTGAGCCCCGGGACTCGGAGTAGCGAACCGCATAAAACCCCGATAGGTTAGGCGTTTTATTGAACTGGAGGACAGCAAAGCTGTCTACCACCAAAGTTTTGGTGTTAGGGCTCGAACCTCGGAACATAAGGGCCAAAGCACACCGGTGACAGCGACTAAACCACTGCGCTACCACCACCACGAAGGAACTGCACATTAACGCGGTATGATGGCTTTTTATCTCTAAGATCCAAAGAGCTACACAGGATGGAGTTTCTTAAGTCAAAAGGTCTCGGCATACTTGAAAAGTGAGGGTAGACAGATAAAGCCCAGTTTTTTCGAGCTTCAGGTTGGGGATTCCACTCGAGTTGGCATTAATCAGCAGAATGGAAGAGGAGTACTGGACCCAAGTAAATGGTCCTCCAATTCGCATCACTTGAGGTGTATTGGGTATCTTGGACGTCTGACCCTGTCCAAAGGGCGAATAATCCGATGAACTGGACACCAGCCCCCAATGGATTGAGGTTTTCGCACACCGCCCCGGTGCCTTGCGGGTCAGGCTTTGATTAACCAAAGGGGGCGATTGTGGATTCCTCAAGAAAACTCACCTGCCTTTGCCTGGGCAACGTGTCAGTATCCTGCTCACATGCGAATCATGGAACGTCTTTCTTTTTCATAAAGATTGTTGTACCATGATTTCTTTGGCACAGTCTTGATTCAGATGTGTGAAAATGTAATGTAATAACGTACACCCGCTTAGGCTTATGCAGCAGGCCACTCCAAGTTCCAGCGCCAGGTTTTCGGTTACCTCTCATCTCACTATGAAGACTTCAATAAACAGGAAGTACACTCAAGCGCACTCTCGCTCGATAATTGCACTCTTTAACATTTGCGGCTTGAACTATGGTGTTGATTATCCATCAGTTTATTCAGTGCGCCTCCCTTCTTACTCTGTTTTTCTCCGAAACTTAACTTTTTTCAGATATCAATCATTTTCAGTTTTTTCATTGTTTTATTCACACCTTATTCATCCCAACGCTAATGTTTGTTCATTTGCCTACCATTCAATTGCTTCCGCCCCGTTTTCTCACTTGAATCTCATCAACCGCAAGTTCCAGAAAATGGCTTAAACTTGGACTTCATTATGCATTCGTTACTTCTNNNNTACTTCTGCACTGTATACCCTTCCTCAAACAGGAGTGACGCTTCACATTTTGGCAGTTTATTGACAGACTGAGAACGTCTTTCAATCAGATAACAAAGTGCAGTTTACAATTTTAGATTTCAACGTCCAGGAATATCACCCTTTGGATGTGAAACAGTGTCATTAACCCTAAAATCAAAGACCTTTTTGTGGAAATAACTTACAAGCTCATGCTTTTCTCGTCCCATAGGTTCGTGTGGTGGTTAAAAGACAGTGATACATACAATTCTTGTTTAAAATGTCCTGATACGGGATTCTTCCACTGCTGAACGCAACTTCGCTTATGTTGTAATGTAAGGTGTGCTAATGTTTTTCATTGAGTCTCAGTTTGAAAGATTCAATGCTTGGAGCACAGACGACATCGAGTGGGAGAGTTCCAGATCGAACACTGACTGAGAATGACTGACGTCAGCATTCCAAGCGGCATTTCGAAACTATTAGTTCGAATGGATGTCCTCTAAGATGAACGTTGGGTGATAATTTCGAAGCGGTCGACACGGATGGCTTGGGTTTTGTATTATTTGATATACCATAATCATGTTAGTCGCTGTCACCGGCGTACTTTGGACCCTATGGTCCGAGGTTCGAGCCCCGCCACCGCCACCCAACTTTGGTGGTAGGTAGCTCTGCTGTCGTCCGGTTCAATACCACGCCTAACCTATCGGGGCCTTATGTGGTTCGCTACTCCAAGTTCCGGGGCTTAGGTTGCCGATTTCAACCACTGAACAACAGGTCCTCGTGACTATGGGGTTTACCCCGTCTGCGGTGCATCACACCTAGGTGTGTAATAAAAAAATGTCTCCTCTGATGCGCCGGTAGTGATTGAAATATAACCCCAGTGATTTCACTCTCTCTCTCTCTACGTATGAATAATTGAACCCTCCCTCCGCTTGAATATGTTTTCAACATTCAATCTACTTTATTCAATCTTCTTTCTGCTCTTTTATCCAAATGGGGCACAAAAGGACAGCAGCCAAAACCGGCGCACGAAAGTGCATGGTTAACGGTTATAAAAACTGAACTAAAAAGCTGTTGAACAAACTATACCAACTGGTTGATTTCTCAACCGTGCTAGCTACCACGCTCATATCCTTGATATTGTCCTCATATTCAACCCAATGTTATTTTCTAATATTGCCATAGTGCTACCCTGCGTTCATTAGACCAGTACTGTCTTATCTCATTTTCTACCCAAATTTTCCGTTCCACTGTTTCTCTCAATTTCGGGTGCACACGGTTTCGCTGATTGGTGTGGCTTCTTACCCCCGTTACTTCCCCGCCGATGTCTCCATCTCGGCTTCTAAGTTTTCCAAAGTTCTTTCGGGAGACACGCTCGTATTCGTTTTACTCATTTCGCTAAACCCGGAAATCCTTTTTCTCCAGAATGGTCCAACCACATGTCGCGCTGTTCGTCAACCAAAAGAATCAGCGTTCCATCGCTGACGTTGTTCACCTTCCTCCCGATCCTGCTAATTGTTCTAGCAAACGCCTAACAACTGCACAGCCATCATGCAGAAGGCCCCAAAACGTGTCGTTGAGCGTAAAACAGCGCAATTATTAACTGTTCCTTCTGGAGGCCGAACGTTTTGATTTAAGATTGAGAAAGATTTAGGAAAGAATTCCTATTTACTAACGCGGCAATCACTCAGACACGAATAACCATCGCCCAATCCCTCACATTGGTCATCTCGAAAGTTATGGAATCAGTCGTTATTGATCAACTCCTCCGTCGCCTAGATCAGAACAAGAAGCTTAGCGATCGCTAGTATGGTTTTCAAACCCACTGACCTACCGGGGATCTTCTTGCGCCCCTTTCGCATACACGGTCAGCTGCACTCGACAAACCCGTGTGGTGTCGACAGCTTTCGATGTTGTCTGGCACGCAAGTTCGTTTGCTAAGCTACCGAAGTTTGGCCTTCGGAACTTGTATCCTGGACAGCGAGCTCTGTCCACGACCGCGGCATCTGCGTCCGAGTAGATGGAATCATGCCTCGTTCCGTGCTTTTGAATGCTAGTGTTCCCAAGATTCTATACTTTCTTCACTTTTTCTGATGTCCCTTGACCTTTCTTCGAATTCCAATCTTATTCATGCATTAGCATTTACTTCCAGTTAAACGTGAATATTTCTCCCTCTCATTAAATTTTAGTTCACACGTTCTTTGTCCCACACTCATACAACCCATTGGTACTATTGTTATTTTCTCCTTTATGGTTACCGCACAAAATCATTTCCCTCCTCCGCGCCGACCGTTTCTTAACTGTTACTCACCTCTGGCTTTACGAAGTTCAGATTCGTCCTACATTTGACTACTACCACCTTGTGTGAAGTGGAGCTCGGTTCACCTCTCTATAACGATGGACACGCAAAACCTAATCTAGCCATTGGAGGTGGTTCAGGGCGGTGTATTCCTGAGAACGACTATTTGCACCGAACATCCGACAACAAACCTCATCTTTGGTTTTCCGCGACATATGTATATATGCTTGGTGCCAAAGCAACAACGAAAACAACAATACGGAGGGGGTGGGGTTGGGATACAAAACAGAGCAACTTGGGGTCAGAAAGTCAAGTTCAATAACGAGAAGAGCAATTTTGTGTTTGTTTCGTCGTAAGCTTTTCGATATCTTTTGTGTTAGTTTATCAACGATGAACTCCTCGACTCTTATTCAATACCACGCCTAACCCATCGGGGCCTTAAGTGGTTCACCACTCCAAATTCTAGGGCTTAGGTTACCGGTTTCCATCGTAAACAGCAGGTCCTTGTGACTATGGTGTTTACCCCGTCTGCTGTTCATCACACGAAAGTGTGTAATAGAAAAGCCATAGGCCGCGCAAGATTAGGCGTGTTATTGAACCGAACGACAGAAAAACTATGATCAAATGTTTCCATCTGCTGCATTACATGCGAAGAAAAGTCTTCTAGCACTGTTTTTTGCACTAGTTAAGCGTACAAATATAGTAATTCATTCACCATGTATGTCAAATGAGTACCTCTTCTTTTTCAGTAATCCTCAGTGACCACGTTGAAGGAGGTCTGGACGTTCGATTTAGTGTGGTCGCTATCACTCCCGAGTAACCTACTCTGACCTTCACAGACGTGATTGGCGAGTTGCCTGATGGTGTCTGAACGCTGCCGGCGCCTTGTGGATGGCTCGGTGGTGTTCTNGTCGGATATGCATTGCTACATGCTAACAGAAAGGCATTTAGTAACTTAAAGCCTACAATCGCTGGAGTATGGACTCCAGAAATTCAAAATGCATCGTACCCTACTCTCTATCCTCCTGAGCTTTGGCGGAGAAACCGACAGTTGTTCGACTCTGAAGAAGATGCTGCAATATTTTTGGGATTACTCGATTCACTATTCATGTTTTCGTATGCTCTCGGTTTGTATGTGAGCGGATGGCTCGGAGATAGGTTTTCTCACCGGAAAGTTCTTTTCGGTGGATCTGTTTTTTCTGCACTCATCATTTTTCTCTTTGGATACGTTACCGAGATTAGTCATTTTTATAACAAACCATTTTATTGTGTATTGTGGATTTTGAATGGACTGACACAGTCCACTGTCTGGCCCTCTGCCGTTGCCATACTGAACTCACGCGCCGGGAGTTTTCGTGGATTTGTCCTCGGTACTTGGTCATCTTGTGCATCAGCCGGGAACATTATCGGTGATCTGCTGGTCGGCGTCCTGGTACCATTTGGTTACCATTATGGTTTCTTGGTCCCGTCTGTCACGATGTTTGCCTTTTCTTTCATGCTGTTATTTGGACTGTCGGACAAGCCTTATGCTTCTGAGCATACTCTTTTCCCAGAAACAGTTGATGTTCAAGATACAGATGAGAATTCCGCGGAAGAGGAAAGTTTAATGAACAAGCAGCCCTCGTCTGCTCCTAGAAATGTATCGTTTTGGCGAGTTTTTGCGGTTGGTGGGGTGATATTTTCTTCACTGGCATATGCATGCATCAAGTTGGTGAATTATGCACTGTTTTTCTGGCTCACATTCTACTTGACCTCGAATTTCGGTTGGTCCAATAGCGATGCATCCACATTCTCTGTGTGGTATGATGTTGGTGGAATACTTGGAGGTGTTGTTGCCGGACTAGTCTCTGATCTAATTGTTCGCTATATGTCACGAAATGCTGTGATCCTATTGTTCAGTGTTTTCGCTGTTCCCACCCTCCTCGCTTACCGGTATACCCCACCTAATCCGGCCTGGTTGAACGGTCTTGTCATGGGAATTGCGGGCCTAATGGTCGGTGGCCCTGCGGTTCTAATCAGTACTGTCGTGATTCGAGATTTAAGCGAAACCGATGAGTTGAGTGGTGCTCGCACTCAAGCCACTATTGCCGGGATTATTGATGGCACTGGCAGTTTGGGGGCTTCGTTGGGTCAAATTCTGATACCTTATTTGGCATTCCGTTTCGGTTGGTCGTCTGCGTTCTACTTGTTTATGACCTGTATGATTCTCACATGCTTTTGTGTACTACCGTTGTGGATCAAACAACGTATCAAAGAAAGACACCGCTCATTGTCCACTTCAAATGACAATATCTACTCCCGACTGTAACTTCACTATCTTCATATTTTGCTTATTACTATTTTTTGAGCTTATTCTTCCAAACTACCCTATCTTGACCTTGATCAACGTTTGGCATTTCTACAATAGAAAACTTCATTCCGAAATACACTCCAGCGAGCTTTCTTTTCGTATTTACCACCAACGACAATCTGCTTCTCCATAGCCTTTGAACTGTGCACGCTAGCGTTTAAACAACGCACGATTAGGACTCAAACTATTGAACCGAATCAAATAACCTCGAAACTGTGTAGTCTCCTATGTGATTTTGTTTCCCCTAGTGGTCCTTCGTATCTTGTTTGCGGAATAGGTGATTTTATCGTAAATTGCACACCTTGATGCGAAGAGCCGTAGCTACAGAGATGAAACTATCCAATGAAGCGCTACAAAGTTCAGCTATTCCGTTCTATAGAGGTTTACTGTAACCTGATTCCTATGGCTTAGATTAACGCTTACCACAGATGAAGCAAAGCCCCGTCACTATAGTGTTTACTTCTTTTACTGATCACCACGTAGAAATAAAGTTCAGGTATCGGCTTGGCTTAGCGATGGGGCGTTTACAGCACTGTGATTGGAAGACGACGGGACACTGGCTTCCACTTTCGGCTTTTCCAACCATTAACCATGCACTTTCGCGCACCGGTTTCGGTTGCTGTCTTTTGCCCGTCCATTCGGATAAAAGAGAAGGATGAAGCTTGGAACATTGAAAGCCAACTCAGGCGGAAAATGGAAAATAGAAAATAATGAGTAGTTGCATGATCCCCACTGTTTGCGATACCCAGCCGTATCGCTGTGTCTCTAACCATCGGTGACCATGATCTCGAGGTCCCCAGCCTAACGGGACCTATGTGACCGATTCTCCTGGTTAGGGTTTTCATACCCTCATGCCAGGTCTTCGTTTGACCACCCTAGACCTTTTTCCAACCGCTACCTGCCTCGGCAAATATTGCACTCCGTGGCAACTTATCTAGTGACACGCGTAACACATGTCCCAACCAGCGTAATCTATGAGGATCGACTACTTGCTCCAGTGGTCTGCACCGTAGAGCAGGACTGGCCGAACTGCTGCAGCATATACTCGAC